GTAATATCGATCGCTCAATCCATCAGTTGAGCGAGTTCGTGCGAGAAAAGCATTTGTGTGCAGTTTCCTTCCGATTGCACAGGTTTGAGGAGTTTTGCAAATCTGTAAGTATTGCTCACATGCAATTAGTTCGTTGATGCATTGCAGTGTGAAGAGCGCAACATTTCTCTGAAAAGCGACGAAAAACTCTGGAAACAGTGCAAATTAATCTCTGATCGGAGTTACCGAGCTGTGATTCATTTGGTGATTCGCAGAACAAATACTTCTGAATTGAACTTCGTCAATTGAACTTTCATATTTTTAAAAGTTTCATATCAAAACGCCTCGTTGAACCTCTTAATTGGCTATAATGAACCGATCACTACATTCTAATATGAACTACATACATTCTAATGCTATGCTGAACTACATTCTAATCACCTGGTTACCATAGTTATGCGGTTCACTCATGGACGCTTTTTCAGAGTGAACAGGTCCAGTTTGAGCCTAGCTTCAGTTAGCCGTTTTGATCTATAGATGTATTTGATCGCTACGACGACTACGGCAAATGGCTGCGTTGGGAGAATGCAGTAATCTGGGATGGAATTGTCGTAAGTTGTTTTTTGACCGATTTGCTGATTTGTTCGGTCCTGCAATCTACTCTGAAGCCTTGAGTGGGACAAGTTTTCATGAGCTCGACAAAGTTGAGAATTTGTTCATCACACCATTTTCTGTTCATCCAGCTGATTCATCGCCGGAGGGTACCCGTCTGTGGAGTAACTGAAGTTACCTTTGTCTACTCGAATGTATTCCGTTCCTTACTTTCAAAATTACATTTTCATAGGTTCACTNGCTAAAAATCCTCATAAATTCAGTCAAGTGTTCAATCCCAGTGTGACAAGAGGAAACCGACATAATGAAACCCGTAAAATTTTCAAGAGCAAGCTGAATAGAAAATTTAGGAGCTAGACCAGGAGAATAAGGGACCATTTCATACATTTTGTTCAGCGCATAATCCAGTCATTGAGGATACTCTCAGTGACCCAAACAATTACGTGTTGTCGAGCAGCATCAGGAAACACTGGATGATCATCTGGCCTAACCGTCAAATATTGTCTGTTGACAATTTTGTATAAAAGCTCCAAATAAATTTCGTAAACGACGCGAATTATGAAATTGCACAAATAGACTTCAGATGTGAATTCGCTGAACAAGCACTTCTCCATGCAAAATTACCCATGATGTTTCAAGACTTTCATGAGCGCAGCGGCAAAATGCACCATTAAACCTTATAATTAGGCATCGTCAGTGGATCATAGTACATATTCCAGCTAATTGGCTACCATAGGAATGCAGCTCAGTTGTGAGCAGAATCCTAAACTCTACAGGTCCAGTTTGAATTCGACCTAAATTTTTCGCCATGATCGAAATAATGTGGTAAGTATCAACGACTAGAACGAATGGCTATAGTGGGTGAATGAAGTGATATGAGATGGAAACATTGTCGGTTTTTTTGAATCGGTTTCATAACATGCTCAAATCTGTGAGAACTCTTAGTTGAAAGTTCTGAGAGGGAGCAAATTAACGACACGTTGACTGAAATAGAAGTTCCTTATCTACGCCGACTGCTTGTCCTTGTTCAATAGGTAACGAAATTAATGCAATGGAACATTGCAGAACGGAACACTCAAAACAAAGCATGTTTTCACCTGTCTCCATGATCAGAAATTGGATCATCAATTCTTTGAGAAAGTACTTTCATTTCAGGATCTATCGCAACTGATAATGCCTGCTCGTTCATGATAAACTTGCCATCAAATAAAATGTCGACATTCGCTGAATTTCATTTCTAAATGTCAGATATTTTCAGCAGAATTTTACCGTCCAGGGAAGATTCTCAGCATTTGTATTATGATCATAAGAGCGGCGCTGGCGTTGTTCGTCGTCTACATATCAATTAAAAAATTAAAGTGGGAACTATTTAAAACATATACACTTCACCTCTACATGGAGTGCATCTTATGCGATTGCGTAGTTTCAGCGGTACAAATATTGGAGTTCATTTCATGGTACAATGCACACGTGACGATACAATGGTTATTCTCATATCACAATTCAAACAGCACAATGCGAACTGAATATAACCTCATTCGAATTTTCCCCTCCTAATCTAATTTCACCTCCAGCCCAACTTTGCGAGCTATTCTCCACTTCTCACTAAACGCTGTTATCTGCAGTGACCCGTACTTAAGAAGAAAAAAAAAAACGTTCGTCATCCGTTTCTTTGGCCTCATGAAAATTCCATAACGGTGTTGAGGTTAGTGTAGAATTCTGATGCACTTTGCAGGATAAAAGCTTTCGACGTCGCGTATTATTCAATAGTGTCAACGTGTGCCATATCATTCCGACTGTTCACTCTTTTCTTCGTTTCGATCGCCTATATGTCAGTCAAATCGCCCACTTCCTTCGCAAAATACATGAACAACCGGTTACTTTTAAATCGAAAAATCATCCATATATATGGTGGGCCGCCCCAATTACAGCAAATGAAATCACCCAACTTTTCAAGTGTGACTTTCCAATACACCAGCAGTTACTGTTTGATTTAATTCTGACCTCACNACTGCCATCTGTGAACGATCGCCTCCAGTTGACTGCGATATTGAAACGTGCGTAATTCTCAAATCTGTCGTTGAGAAATCATCTGAAAATACAATTGGATAGTGAATAAATGCTGCCATCTTCCAAGACTATTGCAATAGAACATCGTTACATAAAAAGCCCTTGCGTTCCAGTTCACTGCTTCGTTACTGCCTCGGTATCCATCTGTTTTGCTTCATTTTGGCTCCATCGGCGGTGATTGGAACATTTTCGATCACCGAGATAGTAGCACATATTTTCAATTGGACGCTAATCGTTATCGTGATATTCACGATTGTTGTCACTATCAAGGTAAGAGCAATTGTTTGATGTTCTGATTTGTTCTGCATCTTCCTGTGATGCTATGTTTCTGTTTTCGAAACCCGTTCATTCTCACAAATTCATGAGTCGATGCGGTTTGAAATTAATTCCGAATTGGCATTATGCTTGCTTATCAATATCATTTCCTCGGCGGAAATTTCAGGCTATAAAAGTGTTGCGATCAACTGTAGTGAATGGTCCGCAAAGTTCCCAGCTGGTTCGAAATCGTAGACTTTTGGTTTCAATTATCATCTATTGTGTTCCACTGAACATTCTTACTCTTCCTGTAATAAGTTGGTTGCGTTAATGCTATTGCGTTCGCTGCAATAATCCTACATTGGCGATCATTGTTTGACTTTTTCAGTCACTTTACATTAGTCAATGTTTTGACTGGTAATTTCATCGTTTTGCAAACAGAAAACTACGCATTCATCGCCTACGGCGTTGAATTGAATATGTTGATATGAGCCGAATTTCATCTGTCGTATGTTTGTGGTCATTAGCAACATCGAAACACAACATTATAATTGGCTCGTTACTTATCTTCAAATAAATTCGTCGTAGAAATTCATGACCTATTTTTTTCAGCATATGTGATATCTTACGCATTGCAGTACGTACTCGACGCCACTCTGGTCGAAGGAATTGGCTATTACTCTGGAATGACCGAATATCAGGTAAATTGACAGAGGTCTGCAATATCATTGGTGCTGCTGAAATGAACGCTGATTTGTCACATGGAGCATTCGGATA